AGGACTTATACTTGTAGAATGTAATTACAGAAGCATGCAATGCATGTAATTGTATCGCTTAGCTTGTGTGTACCGGCTAGGAGGGATTCGGCATGTACCGGTGCACGCTAATCGGTGAGGTAATGTTTGCGTGCACACATGATGGACAGTTGTCAAACGCTTCATTCATTCCACAGATCTGAACTGTAAACAGGAACTGTTCGGATGTTGACCATGTTTGGTCATACACCCATGGGTTTTGAACACTGAGCTACTCTTCGTCTACCGATGGTGTTGTTTGTGTGCTCGAACCCTGTCACCATCATCGTTCAACTTTTTAAACACAACGGTTGTCAGTGTGCGGTTAACGAGATCATCTAACTAATGTTATTTCCATTTTTTATCCACAAAATATATAAAGTTTTTATTATTATTACATTTACCATTATTATTAAGTATTCCGAATGTTTGTGGCACACTGAAGTTTAGTTGCTAGTCAGCCAAATATTGGAACATGCTGTTTTGAAAGTTTTGGGTGAGCTGTGTACTCAAGGCGGACGGAATGTCAAAGGAATCTCTATTTTCAGATGTTCTTCGGTTTCTTTGTGTGTATGTGTGTACGCGCGACTGTACGCTCACAAGTAAAGCGCCTCGGGCCTTTTCGGGTGCACTAAAGGAGAAGTGGACGAGAAAGATACAGCTGACTGTTCTCGTTTCCACACTCCAACCCACACCCCAGGCGGGCAGAAGAGAAAACAGGAGTGGCAGAAAAAACAATGAGCCGGTTGTCAGTTGACATACATCTCAAGTGGTTTGTACCACAAAATCCAGAGGGGAACAACAACAACAACAACAACAACAAACAGGTCGGACAAATACGAGTTTGTGTTTGGTTGGAGCACAAATTGGATGCGACAACACGGGGCGGATGGGGGGGAGGGAATATGAATGACAGCAATAATGCAGCTAATATTGTTTGTCCTTCAAATCTGATTAAACCAAAGTGCTCGGACAATTTTTTGCACCGATAAAAGTGTTTAACACAAAGAAAACGCCTCCGTACATCAATTCGGTGACCACTGCGGAGTAGCACAAATATACTCAGTCTAAAAATGAACGAAGTTTCTTCTCGGGCGAATCAAACTGTGTATTGCTTCGGATACGTGTAATCATGAAGTTCATCTTTGTATTTCAAAACGCATGTTGCATAGATTACTGTTTTCAATATCCGCGGCAATTAAATTATTCGCGTTTCACAATACGGCTCATTTTTACCGTTAAAGTTTGTCTTCAAGTATCTCCTTCAATATGTTCTCTCTTCAATCGTGCGTCTTTTCCAATATTGAGAAAGATTCGCCACTTGTCTACACTGAGAAAAACCACTGACCGTTAGTTCCGGTACTAATGGTAGGAAGGTAATACGAATGTGAAGAAGAGGTACTGATGCTCGTAGCCCGATTCCTCACGCCCGTTTGACACATATCGGAGGAAAATTGTTACAAATAGGCAAATCCGATGGGACTACACCTTATCGATAACAGCCCAATAACGTACATCTTTGATGGTGATTCATTGCCGGATTTGCTTCTAGACCGGTTTTCAGGTTAACCGTAGCCATGATCACGATTTTTGAATGAGTAATACACAGAAATTTAAGCAAAAACCGGAAGAGGACCTTTGGGATTGCTGCGTTTCATATAACTTCATGGACGTTGTTCGTACCATAACTTGGCCCATAGCGCAGGCTAGAATATATATATATATATATATATATATATATACAGAAAACTATTTGCCATCCGACAGCCTTTTGGCTCCTTTGCCTCTATGAAAATAGATTTCAATGATTGTGCACTTTAACGTGAGAGGCGCTTACCATTCGCATCATAAATTATTGTGAAGAATACCAGGACAGCTGCATATCTAGCCATTTGTCCACCCTCATTCTCGGGCATCATCACGTTACCTATGTCTCACGTTTCAACCCAGTGAGGTAGGTTCGACCAACCGAGAAGCTTGTCAAAACCGACACACGGGGTCTTGTATCAGACAACATTCGAACATGCCAGTCTATGGAGGGAAAGTCTGATCGTTAGTGCAGCGGCGCTATTGTTCACACTGGTCAGAAATTGTCTCTGTCTGGATCGACACTTGTGCTTATGTGACCTAGGAGCGGGTCAAGTTGAAGATGCAATTGGATTTGCCATTTCAAACGTATTCACATCCTGCCCTTGCTCAGTTCTCCGTCACATATCCCCTCCTGACCCATAAGACCCCGAGACTTATTTTTGAGTTTTGACAAAGATGATTTCAAATACCCCGAAACAAGATCATCCGTCATTTTTAACCAATCATATTCAAAGAAACTTTGTAGGGACCTGAAGTTTTTCAGACATCAATCCAGTGCATAATTTCGTTATTCATAAACGATTTCATTATAATTCCCCTGTTGTCATTATTAATGTGCTTCGCTCAAACTTCCAGACAGTATGTATGTTCCTAATTAGAAGAATACAGTGCGGGGATCGGACAGATGTATAGTCCGAAATTCACTCACTGATTCATTCAACCGTCAGCTGGCCATGGTCTCCGTCAAGCCATTCATTCATCCAATCACCCACCAACCCATCGAGTCATTCATACAATCTGATCAACCGATACAGACACGTCAAACTGCCATTATGACAAAGATTCATCATTACCATGAAAATACCCGTATGCTTGTGTGTATGTCTCCGCGTGCGTGAGGGTAACTAAGACTCTGCATGTACAATTGACAGGTGTCGAAGCTGAGCATCAGCGTGCATACGTGAATTTGAAACTGTATACTATCTGATGCAAGTTTGGACCTCACCTTGTAACCAAGTCTGAGCTTGCAAACGAAAAATGCATGTAGATGCACGAACATCCGTTGGTTTATCCACTTCAGATTCGTTACTATAGTTTGCATCTACACAAGTATGTGTGTGTATACCGGCGTATTGAAACCTGGACCTGACAGTTAAATATCACCTCATCATTGGGATTGTGTGGCATGTATCTGACTAGGTAGGTCTGTGCCTAATCTGTATACTATCCTTTCACACTGTGTATATAATATCCAAGGAACTCTCGCCCTGTATCCGTCATACCTCACAATCAAAGTAGATAAAACTCATCATGGCCAGTGGGTACCCGAACAGGTGAGTAAGTGGGTGAGAGTGCATCAGAATGCTTCCTTGTAATTCACACAATATGGTCATGTGATTGATCTACCATTGTTCGTTCGATCTATGCTCTCTCTCACTGAGATGTCAAGAAAAGTTGTTCACACTGGTGAAGTTGTGGAGAATTCACCTTTGTGATGATTCTCAATGTATGGAAGCTGGAGTTGGGTTACAAACAGAGTGATAGTTTTACTCATCAGTCTAACAATAAAATCACAAGGTTACCAATGAGAACATGAAAATTGCTGTCTTGGCAACAGTAC